CGGAAACCACATCGCAAATACATTGTTTCTGGAAAGCAACAAAGAAAATAAAACGAAAAATAAATAAAGAACCAGAAGTTAACTTGACAAATGCGAGTTTCCACTGTTGAAACATATGTTTTAAAGCGAAGTTTTTATACGGACGTACGGGGCGCTTTCTGCACGGAATTAAATACAGGAAACACGTCATTTACAGTAAATCGGACATTTCTCGCATGGCGTTGTTCTTTTTCACTACTTTTACGCCTAGTTTCTACGTTTTACTCTATGACGCTTAATAACCAATTAACACAATACTAGAATATTGAAATCTCTTTGTGTATCCTTTCCTTATAACTGAGGGTCGTGACCTCATACGTCACAAATCCAATTGTTATTCTTATTTACCAAAAAGGTCAGTTTTTATAGGATAAAAACAAGTAATATTGTAATCTTCCTACGATACCACCGTGGTAGTAAGTTCGACAAGCGTTTTATAAATCAAGTAATAAATCTTACTTACGTTGTAGAACATAAAATCATTAGATAAAACAGCTGTAAAGTCCTCCACAGCAATGGAGGTTGGAATAATGGCACAGTTTGCTTTTTTAATGACGACCAAATTGTGTCAGTTTTGCTGTTTATTTCTTCCGGTTGCTTAATTTGTTTCACCTGCAACAATTTAACAATAAACTAGAAAAGTCCTGCTCAGTAACATTTGTAATTGTTTAAAAATTGTTATATTAAGTATTTAGTAATCATGACTAGATTTTATCTTTCAATATTGTTAGTTGCATTGTATTTAAATTATAAGCAAATCTCTTGTTTCAGTGAGGAAAGACTAGTAAAAAAACTGATTGTGATCTATTTCATTCCCTTATTTAGTTCCTGCCATCACTACTGCCTTAACGAAATAAGCCTTAAAGAAATACAATACCGGAAATTTTTCTTCGATTCCACCATTGATGACATAAATTCTTCTCAATAAATTCAAAGCTTCCTTAGTATCTCCTTTGTTAGCGAGGAATTTGGGACTTTCGTATAGACAGAGGAGAAGTAAAGCACCAATTCCCAAAGGCAGAGCTAATATCAAAGTGTACAATCTCCAAGGAGTATAAGTTATAAAGAGCCAGGGTATTGGCCAGTGGAATGTAAGAGGCAGGACAAAGTACGCGATACCTGGAAAAAAGACATCTTTATTTTAACAGACAAGGTTGTCATATTTGATGAATGTGGTACAGGAAAGCGTCGGTGGTTCAGAGGTTAAAGCACATGACTTGTAATCGCAGGTTCTGGGTTAGAATTCCGTCATTAACCAATAAGTTTTTCGATTTTCTTCTTACGATGAAGGTAAACATCGTGATGCAACCTGCACATATCTGCGAAGAAATTCAAAGAAATGTGTGAAGTCAACAAACCCTCGTTATGATGTTGATACAAACTTGTGAACATTAGAAATACACCAAGAATTAGCTATAGAAAAGCCGGCCACTCCAATTGCGGCACGTTCTAGTAGATAAAGGTTTTCCATTGTTATTGCGAAACACAAAACCGTAAAAGTCTCATGAAAGAGGGTAAATTAAAAGAAGTACCGTTAGAAACAACTTCGCAGGCAAGATCCATGCTGACCATGATGATAAGATACCGACTCCGCTGCTTGCTGCCGACACACTCACCAAGGTATGCCATGGTCAGAGCAAAGGAGGCTGTGGAACTGATATAAATTTACAAAAAAATATATTTTTGCAACGGTTCCCAGAAAGACGAAAAAGTGCAGCACATCAAAAGATAGTAAGTAAAATGATTTCCTTTTATAAGATACTGGAGTCAACGTAAAGTGCCTTTGAAGAATACTCACAAACTGCATCCTAGTATTTTAAAGGCGAGCATCATCTGCCAGTTGGTCGAGAAGCTGCTTAGAGCTGCAAATGTGAAGCCAACAATTGTAGACAATAGCAGCGCACGTCTTCTGCCGCCAGTGTCGGCGTAGTATCCGAATGGGAAGGCAAAGAAAACACCTGAAAAACACAAATTATCTTTTACGTTTGGTTCATATCTGCTTATTTAACGTCATACTTTTTTAACGGGCCAACGTACGCATCGCAACACTCTTGTAAACATTTTTACTCTAAGCTTTGTTCCCACTTTTTTGTACTGTTTCTGTTTTTAATTATCTGGTTATTTTAGTTACTTACTTTGCATTCTATTTTCATCAAGTATATTTTTTTTTGTCGTACGTGATATTCAAGTTTTATTTTAGGTTTTATCATTAACTAGCTGTTGCTCGCGACTGCTTGTGCGTGGATTTAAAAAACCTTAATAAGTAGCCTATGTGTTCTTTCAGGCTATGCCAACTTACAGCGAAATCCATGCAGCCTGGAGGTACATGCAGATACATTCTAACAGACATCCATCCATTCATCCATATATCCAAACACACGCCTTTATTATATTAGTAAGGAGTAAGATTAATATTTCCCTTCCCTTGGCATTTGTTATAACTGTGGATAATTTAGGGCTGATGTTTCTACTTCTAGGTTCCTAACATCTTTGATTCATCAAAGCTTAGCTTGATGTAAATCACCTGCAAAAGGTGCTGAAGCGAGAATCCCCGTCTCCGTAATGCCAATCTGCAGGTCACAAGTTGCGGCAGCAAGCACCATACTGAAGCCGAACATGTCCAGCGCCACCGCATGATGGATGATACAGCATGTGAACAGGACGAGGTAATTGTAGCGGCCATGACCTACAAAACATGCACTTCAGGGCTGCTGTACACGAATGTAAGCTTTCAGCAGCTTGAAGCAGTCTGCATCAGCGGGCCTAGCACGAATATTTGTGACAATCGCCTTCGTATAGTCATCGTCAATTATGTCGAAATTAGTATGAGTTTTTTGGTGTACTTTACGATCTATATTGCCCATTTTTTTAAACTTGTCACAAATATTCATGCTAGGTCCACAGTTCACGTTCATCTTACCGTAGAAAACAACTGCTGTGAAACATAGTGTCGTCTTTGTTTAGTCAATGAGCATAAAAGGGATGACAATATTTGTGTTATACGAATGTGACTGCAGTGGAATTCTACAAATATTTAAATAATTCCGTATCGCAGGAAAAAGCCTCTTTACAGTGGCTTGAAGTATAGTCATGTGTATTGTCCCTTAGCCACAAGTAATCCATGACCTAGATATAGTACGGTTACTAGACTTTGAGGTAAAAAACATTTAAATAGATGATTACTAACAGTCCAGAAGACAAAGAAAAAAATAGTAATTGGATACAATATTACCTATTTTTTTTAAATAGAACCTTTTTTTATTTATTTATATTGAATAATCTTGCGCTTGACCACGATTCCATCTGATGTTAAGTTGTCATGTGGTCGAAAGATAGTACGCGCTAGCTAAGTGAATGCGTATTCACTCTATTCTATAGAACAACTGGAACGTTTGAAATATTAAATGAACCATGAATGGTAAATCTTTGAAACTCACACCAACTACGCGATTATACGCATTTTACGACGCGAATGAACTGAAAAATTACTAAGGTGTCATGAATACATCACAGAAAACACAAAAACTGGGCATACGGCATACATCATGACGTTCAACATAAAAACGTGATGTTATTATATAAACAAAATTAAATGATTATCTTAAACTAATTCTTATAGATAGGTTGCTTTTTGCAAAATACGCTGCTTGCAAATTACAGTATATTCTTGGTGTAGATTTAAAAGCGCTTTAACTTGTAGTTAAAGTCGGTTAATTTCATCTAATTCCACTACTATCAGCAAAATCGAAAAAACACTAAATATCACCGCTCATAGCCTGTCTAGTAGAATATAGATATTGTCATCCTTTTCACTCCCTTTAATAAAACATTGACAATGACGCGATAATATACCGCGTCACTACATTCAAAAACCACAAAAGAGTGTTCCGACAATAAAAACCAACAATTAAACTAATTAGTAATAGTTTAATAATAATTGCTATGTCCATTTTTGTTCAAATAAAAATCACAATAAGATCGTTTTTATTGCATTGTAAGTACTTCGTAGATTACTTTCTTAATTAAAAATAATTGATCCTTCTTATTTAATTTACGTATTTCATCACAAAATGGTTCTTTTCTCATGAACTCAATTACAAATATACTATACTAAAAAAAAATTTTGGTCTATTCAAATAGACTATGGATACTAGATATAATAACAAAAATAATAACCAAGTCTCTAATTGTACCATAAAGTACTGATAAATGATAAGAAAAATACGCTTTTCTAATTTATTTTATCATGTAAATAGGTATACTTATTTATCATAATATTTAAACTTGAAACAAACACTATTTACGCCAAATTACAGTTATTATGCGATTTTATTTCTAAGTTTCTATATAAATCCATCAGATTCAATCAAACAAAACAAGAATCCAAAACAACATTCACAAACTCGTTGAGCAACTTACACGATGTGCAAACAAAATTTTTAGGTTAATAATTTTTAGGTTATGTTTATTTTAAAGTATATTTATTTTCAACTACTCAAAAATCGATATATAGTACGACATTCATGAATTAACTATAAGAATATGTTTGATAGTGTAGTTTATTTTATTGAAATAAAAAATATTTACCTGTTAATTCAACGGCATCGTCGTAGTTGTAAACGCCAACTGTATCGACTTTGTCGTCGACTTTTGTTTCTAAATCCATGTCCTACCTCTAGCGAATCCGACGCTTTACAAACCATCTCATCTGACGATATTCAAATTACAACGACACGTTATGTTAGTCATTACTGGAAACGTCATTGGTCTTCTACATTTTTAACAATTTGTTATAATTGTGGCTGCATGACGCTATTTATTTAATCGAGTAATAATACTTACGTATTGTAAAGCGCAGTGAACAATAATTTAATTTTTTATTTCGTTACTTACTATGATAAGTTAAAAGAACAGTAAGTGTTAAATAAATAAAAAAAGCTTTTGTCCTTGTAGTTCAATGTATCACATGTAAATTAAACATGTAATTTACTGTCGACAGGCCTCTTGTAAGATGGTCCGATGATCTGGTTGTGAGAGATTATCCTGGATGCAGGTAGCACATGGCCGGTCATCGTGGCGATCTTTGGGGGAGGCCTATCCCACCAGTGGTCGACTCATGGCTAAACAAGCAATTTACTGTCAAAAACACTTTGTTAGAACTAAGTAGTTTTAGACATTATTAATTACAATCCTTTGGCGCGAATGACGTGCTTTCGTTACAAAGTCTGGTGTCAGAATGAACAGTGATGGGACACAAACATAGACACTCCAGTAAGGCTAGAGTTGAGTCAATACACTGACTCATTTTCGGATTTTCTTTCTAACAGTAGGTACAAATTTAAGTAGGTATGTATTGTAAAAAAACTGATTCACGTTTATTTTATCAACAATTCCATTAACAATTATTACAGTTGTTTTTTGATTTAGTTCTATCACTTGGTAGACAAAATGCAACCGCAACGCCACCTGTGGACAAAGAAACAATATTTTTTAGAAAAAAAAATTATAATCATCTCACCCTACTACCCTTTTCTTATAAGAAAGGGATGGGAAGAGGAGGTATCTTTAGCAGAGGATCGGACGGATAAGATAGCGTCTTACTTTAGTGCGTCTGTCCAAAAAAACATGCCACATCTAGAAAATAAAACTTTACATCAGCGTTCCACCGCAACTACACAGTTAATTACTTGTTAATTACTCGTAACAGTTCTTACTTAATAATTTCAAATTAATTTACCTAATACAATAAATTTTAAATATATATTAACATATTAAAAAATGTCTAAGCTGAAAGACTGTTGTAGTGTTTCTCTTTTGAAAATTACACAGGATAGATACAGTAAGGTACAAGATGGAGAATGATTATCAAACATACTTAGGACAAAAACCGCCCAGCTGTAGAAGAGAAAGTTGCAGTTGCTTACAACGACTGCGCCAAGAAGGTTAACTCCCGAAAATGACGTCATCCGCGCCACCATCATGGCAAGACAAGTCACCAGACTTCTGTAAAAACAAAAATACGACGCTAAGGACAATCATAAATTAGTTTACTGTGGCACTTGTTGGCAGCACATAAAATGGTTGTTTTGAAAATACTACAATAGATTTCTTTGTGAAAATGTAACCCAATTAATTTTTGTTCTAATAGATTCGTTTATAAAAGCATCTAGAAATCATAAGTATTAGAATCCCTAACTTATTCTCTTAGAATAATTTAAAACTTTAATAAATTATAAAAAACGCCTACACTATTATTTAATGCAAATAAACAGTCGTACAAACCTATGAGACGTAGGATACAAGTCTACAAAATATGAAGACACTGATCCAATACCGATTGCTGTTATTTGTATCAGAATGAAGAATATCATGCTGGCAATAGGTTCTGTCAGTGATCCGACGAGAATACTGCTCAGTGCTGCCACCAAGTAGCAGCTCATCAAAACTAAACGTCTCCAGGAAGCCAACTTCGATGCGGCGAGATTGATAATCGTAAAGAAAAATCCAAGAGCAATTCCAGAGTAAATTGTCTTCAAAGAAATGGAGTCATCGCAAACATACTGGAATGATAATACATGGACAAAACATTACTTTTAATTTTAACAATGTTTAATTTTTTTCTTTTTACTATAGTGTGCTACTTGTCACTAGATGGAGTTAGCTACCATTAATATTTTATACATAAAATGATTAATGTTGAACTAACGTTTTCAGCATTAACATCAGTCGTTATGTTTTGAACTACAGCTTCACAAAAGCCCATATCTTCAGAGCCACTAGACACTGAGTTAAAGAACAAATTCACCATAGTCGGGTACCACATTAGAAATACGTTGTTCCTGTAAAATAAAAATTATGGTTATTTCGTTATTGAGCCTCTGTCGGGTTCTCTCAGTCATGTCAAAAAATAATTACTTACGTCGTACAACAAATGACCAATAAATAAAATAACTGAATAGTACTCCAAAGCAAAGGGGGTTGGAACAATGGCACAGTTTGCTTCTTTAATGATTGCCAGATAGATTCCTCTTTGAGTTTTATAGTTTCACTGTGATTTAGGTGTCCAATCTGAAAATTATTAAGCAAAAATTCTAAAATAATCCGCGAACATATTGCTATTCATTTACTACAGGCATTTTTAATATGAAAAACAAGTAAATTAGTCTTTTGTAAATATATAAATTTTTCATTTTACCAAATTATTGTTAATCCTGATACAAATAGTATTGTTATAGTAATAACCTAAAATATTTACTGCTTGGTTCGTGGACATTTTTAATAATATAAATTACTACACTTAAATAAAATACCATAAATTCTTTTTCATCTCCACCGTTGAACACAAATATTTTTCTCAACACTTTTCTAGTTTCTTCAGTATCCCCCTTATTCGCTAGAAATGTTGGACTCTCATAGAGGTAGAATAATAACACAGCGCCTACTCCCAACGGTACAGCAATAATAAACGTAAACAATCTCCAGGCACGTAATGTTATTTGAAGCCATGGTACTGACCAATGGAACGTTAGTGGCAAGATGAAGAGTGCAAGACCTGAAAGAAACATGAGAAAAAGTAAATTAAAGTTCTTTAGTTTACTGATAATTGTTTTTAGCAATTATTGTGCAACCATTTGATTGCTATTTTATATTTATTGATTGTGGTGTGAAATAAACTATGAGTTTGATGTAATAGAAGATTGCCGAATTCTGAGCCCTTAAGTAGTAATTTTCATTCTAAATCTACATTAGGTCTTTCTTAGGAAGTAACTATTTGGCGACTCTGACGATTGGTTTCTGAGACCAAAACCTCTGTATAAAACATATCATCATACCTATGTGTATGTTTTAAATAGTGAATTTAGTCTTAGAAACTCATGGTGAGTGAAGCAATAAACTAGTAAAATTATCCATCAACAGATGTCGCTGTTCTATTGTAATGCAACTTGTTACTCGTCATTGTTTTTATTTATATCTACGAACCGAAAGACACTATCTCCGAGGCCAGGTTCATGCTGTTCATAATAAAGAGGTATCGACTGCGCCGCGCGCTGCCGATGTTCTCCCCCAGGTACGTCATCACCAAGGTGAACGATGATGATGAACTGTTGATGAAATACAATTTATTTAAACGGGGACTACGAATAGTATAGGATATAAAAATATATGCTGCTATTTTCTTTGTTATAATAGGTTAAATTAGACGTCAAAATGTACTTGATTTTTAAGGTAAAGATTGTAAAATATAAAATGATTGCTAAAATCTTATGTACGTCTTATTTCACTCATCTCAATAAGTTTATGAAACAAGAAATTAAAAGAAATTGAAGCAAAATATATTAAAATCGTGAATATGTTAGACGATTATTAACCGTGATTTTACAGTTTTCAATAAAGAAACACCTGGTGAATAACATATAATTATCTCACTTTTTTCAATAAGAATGAGCGAGATGATTATATTAAAGACTGATTGTTATAATCATTCCTATCAGAGTGTATCAGACGCGGATGTCTATTCCATTATCTTTTGCAATTATACTATTTATGTATTGTTACAGTTATATATATAATATGTCATATACTTTTACAATATTTAACGGTTTATTTCAAATGATTTACTTAATAAGATTAAAAATTATCATAAAGAATAAGCTTTTTATTTGATATCAATCATCATTAAAAGATATCACGATAAATATCTTAGATTCACGTTTATTGAACATGCGTTAGACGTATTTGGTGATTATTAAATACTTGAGTATAGACTAAACTTTCCCACAACTTCTTTCAAGCGGAATTAAAAAACCTAGTTCATGTAGTAATCTATCACTCCACCAAATTTCATCTAGATCCTTTTAGCCGTTTTGTTTTTGCCTACTAATAAACATCGATTCATCCATACATTGAATTTTTCCAATTATAATATAACATTGCAGGGAATACCAGGGTCACAACATAAAAATAAGCTGTTCGAGAATCGAAATGATTTAGTTCCTTCCTAATCAATAACAACACATACAAACTTGATCCAATTATTTTGAAAGCGAGCATCATCTGCCAGTTGGTTGAGAAGCTGCTCAAAGCTGCGAAGATGAAGCCAACAGTTGTGGACAGCAACAGCGCGCGTCTTCTGCCGCCAGTGTCAGCGTAGTAGCCCCAAGGAAACGCGAACAAAACACCTGGCCATTAAGTTAAACTTTATCATTTCTCTGTTTGTACAATCCTCTCTCTAATTACAAACTAACTGAAACCAAAGTACCAAAACGTCACTAAACATCAGATGCCATTAAAAATAGAATGATAGAAGTTGTACATAAGCAAACAAGATTAAAGTAGAAAAATAAGAGATCATTTTATTATAGTAGTTTTTAGATATCTTGACGGCTTTGGACTTCGCGCGAGTCACTGTGCAGTACATAATTATAGGTGTTATGTGGGGAGGGCACTGTGTAGCGTACATATGTCCTCAAGATATTTGTAAACAACTATATTCGTAAATCATAAATCTGTTAACCAAATAAATATATAAACGATTAGATCCTAAGTATAAAAAGACCTTTTTACAATCACAGCTTTGTTAGTAAAGGAGTTATCAAACAAATCCGAATTTAAAAATCACGGAGCATAATAAAGTGACGAACCTGCAAATGGAGCTGAAGCGAGTATTCCAATCTGTTTAATGTCGAGCTGCAGGTCGCAGGCGGCCGCTGTCACCACGATACTGAAGCCGAACATGTCCAACGCCACACCGTTACTGATGATGCAGCAAGCCACCAGCACCAACTGATGGTATCGGCCATGTCCTAAGAATTTTCCATAATGTAACCACTTGTACATTGAAATTTATCTAAAATGAATATTCTTGTACAGCCTTTTGACTGTCAGAAACAATTGATTAGCGGCACAAAGTCAAGAGGCGATGTGATCAGTAAGGACGTAATTTAGTTTCATATATGCAATTCTTCAATTACATATGCCTCTCATTGTCTTGGTCACTATTTTCAGAAGGCACAAATATTTTTATCTAAAACAAATGACGATCGGTACAAAGTCATGAGACAGTGTGATCGGGAAGAAGGTATTTTAGTATCACATTTGCAATTCTTCAATTGCTTGTGTCGGCTTGGTCACTATTTGAAGTTGGCACAAATGTTCTTATCTACAATTTTTTTTTTTCTAAATAAGAAATTGATTTTTGATCTACCGGTCAATTCCACTACTTCATCGTTGTCACATTTTGTTACTTTAGCGTTCTCTTCTGAATTCGACATGATGTCTTTCAAAACTTACTCAAGTAATACTGAGATAAATTTAATTGTTGTCTATGACGTAATTATTATAGTTATCAGTTTGCCTTTTGTATCTACATTTGTACAAGTATTAGAATAATCCTAAAATAAATTTTTACATATAGTATTGTGTTTTCCCAACTATAAAATATATAATAACTATTGTTGTATTCGTATCTATTTTAAATTGATCTCTTAAATTGTATCAAACAAAAGAAATTAAAATTCGTCAGTCGTATGTTAACAAAGTCGTTTTTTACGTCAATGCCATATCTCCTTTAATACTTTATCAAAGTTATTGATTTGAATAGATTTGGCTAGCAGGGTTATTACCCGTGAATAATGTAGAATAGACATGGGTAAATCAACTAAAATTTGTGATCTGCAGATCAGCTCACGGCTCATGTGTAAAGCAGTGAACCTACTCACATATCTGTTCTATTTGTACCTGCACAAAATTTTGTATATCGAACTGGGATTCACCAGACTCACGTAACTATAGTTCATCGTGATGAGCTTCATCGTGCGCTAACAATTTAGTTGATGAACCTCAACTCAACACATGTTTGTGTGAGCTGAACTTTTGAACCGGTTCAGAGCTGATTCATTTATCCTTTTAACATGTCCAAATCATGCATATAAGCATGCCTTTTTAACCCAAAACATGCTCTTTTTAACCAAATTCTTTGTGAACCGAATTCTTCTTATCCTACCAAACCTAATTCTCTACATACATTTTTATGGGAACCAATACCGAATTATTAAATCTAATAGTAATATTTTCATGCTAGTAACTGTGTCATTCAGGGTTATTAAGTTGTCACTAAGAGACCCCTTGATTTGAGAAATCTACACCACACGACTGTTTAAATAGCTAATTGCGGCAATAAGTCAGCAAGAGGCCGTCCAGTTATTGCAATCTATTTGCAATCCCTTAACCTCAACTTGCTGGAACACTTGACTTCCGGTTATGTTACTATCAACTTCCGGTATTAGTGACATTATCTGGATGTATAAATACCTTTATTATGATTACTTAATTTCAATTTTGTCAATAAAGTAGTAGTAGACACTAGAAAATGGCTCATTCAACGATGTTCAAGTGATATATATATATATGACATATAAAGTAAAAATAGAATTAACATTTTGAAATAGACTAATATTAATATGACTCAGAATAGCAGCAGCACAAAGGTATGTCAAGTCTAAAACCATTTAGTCTATGACAATATCTAGTCTTTCACGAAGGCGCGGCACAATTACCGTAATAAAGTAGACGGTTCTTTAGGTCACTACTGCAAAGGTCTAAACTACATCTGTAGGAAGTTACTTTCATTGCATTGTAGGAAATTGATTCAATAATAATAATAATATATCTAGTAAATCTTAATAAATCTTTAATGCACACTTTATCCAACTGTCACTTTTTAAGAATAAAAAGCAAAATGCCAGTTTTGAAATGGCTTAGATTAGGTAAGTAGGTTTGTTATTATGTATTCAAACTTGCAAACTTACGTTTTCTTTTATGGAATAACAACGTTAATATGGGAATAGATTTTTAATACTTAAGTTACGTCATAGTGTACAAAATTAAGCAAATTAGCTTTGAACTGTTAACTGACAACTGTCCGTCTTCAGACAAATATTTGATTAGCATGTCTAATTTCCCTTTGTCTAATTACGGCAGGCCTTTGCATTAACCATGAAAGACTTACATATCTTACTAATATTATAAATTCGAACGTTTACATGATTTATTTGAAGGTATCTCCATAAAGGCTTAATCTAGAAGAACTAATTATGTTTTTTTTTAATTCTGTGCGGACGGAGTCGCGGGCGACCGCTAGTCCAATATGTCTAAAATATGCGGGTATGTAAGTATATGAAGCTGTCATAGTAACATCTTATTTTATTAAGCCACTGGTAATATAACAGTATTATAATATTCTTACGATGAAGGAAAACTTCGTGATGCAGCCTGCACATATCTGAGAAGAAATTTAAAAGATATGTGTGAAGTCAACCAACCCGCACTTGGCCAGCGTGGTTGACTATGGCCTAATCACCCTTAACTTAGGGTAGGCTCCGAGCCCTTCGGTGGGGACGTATAGTGAGCTGATGATGATGATGACGATGAATATGACAGTAATTCTTTTAAGTCATTATTAAAACGTACTGGAAATTCTGCATGACTTATGGCAATAGCTCTGCATAAAAGTATGGTACAATTGTGGGGTTAATTCGATTAACAGGATAGTTGAGACGGTGAGAGAAAATTAAGATTGTCTTTCATGTGATTAAGATTAGGATGTCAGTACTATAACTTACTAGCTGTCGCCCGCGACTCCGTCGGCACATGATTAAAAGATCCGTTCAGCCATTCTGGAGATACCATCATCATCCATCCATCTAAACATTCGCACTTTTAATATTAGTAAGATAATGCTACGCTTGCGTATGTCTATGGGCAACGGTCACTTCGCTATTTCAGTGATTGCAGATGGCCGCTCGCTCGATTGCCAACTTATGGTATAAAAAAATAGTTGCTTGAGAATCATCTCCAATTCGAATAGATCTTGTCAGTTGTTCCCAAGCATGTTTTATTAATAGTATAACATTTCAGCGTAGGTGTGACCATAGAGTAGGTAGAATGCAGTAATTGTGTATCCTGCCTATACCGGCTAAGGCGATGCGATCTGGTTTTATTCGATATACTCAAGCCGTATGCATATCATCGATAAATAAAGATGAAAAGAGAGGGTTGAATTATTTACTTTATAAGTAGATAAATAAATAGATATTAAATAATAGGGGATTAGGTCAGCAGAGGCACTGTTTCGCCTTGCGCTTGACAGATCCAAATATTCCAAGTTAGCGGCGAGCCTTCAAGAATGAAGAGGCACTAGAAGAAGAAGAAGAAATAATAGATAAAAATACCATATAATGCCAGAAGACAGAGTATTTAACTTATATACACACCATCTTACTCCTTTTAAACTTGTATACAATTTATACAACACCACCTTTCTCCTTTCTCCTTTCTCCAGTATACATTGTGTTCTCATGAAACCACGATGATATATGATAAGACGTCACTTACTCTACGTCTTTTAACACAAACAAATTTAAAATTACATAGAATTTGCAATATATTTACGGAAAATAATAGAATATTTAAAAATGAAAAGTAAAGATTCAATTAGTTAAGTCCTCAAAAATTATTAAATAATGGTCATGTCGATTAACAAGGACTGTAACTCGTCTCTGAGGACAAAGGACTAGAACAAGGATGGATATTAAGCTTTTTCTTTCGTACTTTCAATTCTTTCTTTAAACTTCCGCATGCTTCACCTTCCAGTTCGTTGTAATCTTCGAATTATTTTTTATTAACGTCCGTGTACACTCCATCTGATGGTACTTTCATATTTATGGACACGTTTCGTCCTTCGATTTATTCTATTTTGTGCATATTTATGTTTTATAGAAAAGTAAGTGCGTAGTTGTCCGTACCGCATTGGTGTAGGCTATATTTAATTTTTTTTATATAAAAGAAGGGGGCAAACGAGCGTCGGGAACACTGAGGTGAACCAATAAAGTTTGTCTCAAAGTTGGCCGTTGATGATGTTGGACCTCGAAATATGGTCTTTTATTGTCGAAGGTCAAGATCCACTTCGACAAGATGCACCGTTCTAGTTAAAATTTATAATCACTAAATAAATAAAAATAATTAGTATCCTAATTATTTTCATCATTCATCAAGTCATATAGGTGCTGATAATACCTTTCTTTTAGGTCATTGACTTTAAAATGAATGAATACGTAAATCGATCGAAGAAAAACAACAATTAAATCTGACGTTGTTTGAGACAATTACGACGTCACAGCGTGAAGTTCAACTGTCACCATCCTTTGACATGTTTAAAAGTTTGAATGTCAATTTCCTTGTATAAAAACATAATTATATTACAATAGTTACGTTACAACAATTTGACGATACGTAAATATGAATAGAAAAGCCGGAATGGATCAAGACAAATACTACCGCTTAATTCTCTAAATTATAAACCTAATTGTTTATTTACCTTACTAATATTATAAATGCGAAAGTTTAGATGGATGGATGAATGAATAGAGGTTTGTTTGAAGGTATCTCCGGAACGGCTTAACGGATTTTAATGAAATTAGATACACACGTAGAACATCGTTTGGAGAAATGCACCAACTTTCGCGCGAACGGAGTCGCGGACTACAGCTAGTTAATAATTATATAAATAACAAACGATGAACGAATGAATCGATATCTGAGAGAGGGAAATAAATTTGGGATTCCTTTTAAAATTACCATTCCTTAAGCTGAATATCCGTCCTCAATCATAGCGTGTCATTCGGTAGCCGTCGACCCTCACACCTTGAAACACCCTTAACACTTAACCTATTTATAGACATCATATTAGGAAGTAACGCAAGCCTAACATCCTTTGCAACTCAACTGCAAATGAAGTTGCTACCAACGCATGTTTCTAGACAAACAAATTTGAGTCTTCGGCTTTTGTCATAAGTAATAGAATAGCTTGTACAGTCTAAGGTCCGCGAACTCGAAATGACATGAGCACTGTACCGGCTTCCCGAGTGTGATTTTTATTAATAAATGGGCCGACCTGAGTGCGCTCCGTGACACACGGCCGGAGAGAATAACGAACATTACAAATATTTTTAGTATATAACTAGAATTTATTTAACAATTTGCAAAAGTCTAAACGTTAACTAATTACTGAAGTATGTGATATTATTACGCTGGTATAAATTGGATATATGGGAATCATAATTTTCGGATACCTAATTTACTTTTTAAAACATAAGTACCTACAACTAAATGTCATATAAATGACGTGATTTTATGTACTTCCCCGATTGTCACTCTACTTACCCCAGTCGATGTTACAACTACGTTATCACTGTTAAGTGTTTTTAACATGTTATGATAAAATTCCGATAATTTTCGGGGTTGTTAGCATCTTCCTAAGGGTTCATTGAATATTTAATTTGGTTCAGTACTGAAAAATATAATAACTTAATAATATATACATAAACTTATTATTGAATTACTTAACTCTATATTAATTATTAAGTGACTAATTAAATTAAAATTAATCTACCAAAATATAATAATACTATAAACTATATACTAAAACTAAACCAAACTAAATAATATAAAAAATCGACCCCAAATCGCTGCGGTCGTTCAGTACTCAATACTTAGTAACATAAAAAATTTATAATTCATTTTATAATATATATTTAGAAGTGCTAATTCTAAAATTGTCTCTGGCTACAAAGTTGTCTATCAATGTCAAAAATTGACCGTCTCTTTACTTTCAAATTATTTGTTTAGTGTAACGTGATAATATCATTATGCGGTCGGGTATAAGCTACTAAAACAACCATAATCAAACCACATACAAATGTTATATCAATATGCTTTTGTTCATAATTAATAAGAACAATGCTCTTATAAAAATTTAAATATCAACGTTATCGGTCGATCGAAATTTTATGAGATTTCAACTTTATGATGCGTGTCATAAATTATTTTATCGCTACATATTATCTGATCCTTTAATGTCTGACCTAAAGTCTATGCGTGATATTATTTAATTGCAATACGATATAAGGCTTTTTACGATATTAAAAAACTCCCAGACTACCAAATAGTTACACTATGATACATTGTAGTAAAAAATCGAAGAAGAAAACGGTTCAGGAAAGATTGTACCGACTTTTATTCATAGTTTCTCAACAACTACTTAATGTAGTATAGTAATAGTGTTACTTACATAACTTCGGTCATAATCACAGTTATGAAGGTCTGTTTTAAGACCATATATATGTATATACCCACTTAACACGGTTAAGGCTACTTTTAGTTCATTTAACATTATTAAGTAGTATAAAAATCACTTAATCTCTTAAACATTACGCAATTTTAACAAAGCATGGACAGAATATATTTACGCTCTTCATTCTAAAGCACGGGCAAGAATTGCGGTATTTTTTGATATTCTCTTTTTCATGTTTAAATTTTACTAAATATCTCTTGGATAAGAGCTATTTACATATCCTTACGCTTAGTGTGTCGATTACCTAAATAGTCTCTTACTAAACCTTATGTACTTTTGTAACTTACTCGTTTATTGAACACAATACTTACAATAATCGAGCACTGAATGATATTTTTAGATATTACCTAACTAATCTATGCCTAAAACTATCGTTACATATGTTAAATATCTAGATAAATACGTTTATCACATACCTTAATATGAGTCACCCAATAATTATATCTAACGCAATTATCATCTTGAACACAATCATGACTTTCTGAAATAAACCAATACGACTTAGAGGCCTTCAAGACGCGAGCATACCATTTCCTTAAAGGCCGGCAACGCATCTGCAGTTTCTCTGGTGTTGCAGATGTCAATGGGTGTCGTTGATTACTCCGGTGTTCCCGCCGCTCATTTGCCCCCTTCTCTTATAAAAAAAAAACAGGCAGTCAAGTTTACCAAACAGATTAATAAAATATTTTACGTACATATAAATGTTTTATGCATTTGACAAATTTTACCGTCTCTGCTTTTACCCTTGTATTAAACTTTTTATTTTAATCAATCACTAATCAGCATTTCTAGAGCTACGTCAATGATAAAAATTTTCGGTACCATTTACCACCATTATATTTTTTGATATGATATTATTCGATGATTATTTTTATACTCCTTTAATAATACTAGCATGATGTAATGTTACTATTTTTAAACTTTAAATGGTATTTGTTACGGTCTTCAATAAATATGATAAACATAAAGTTTCAATTTAATTTATTGTATTTTATTCCATCACTCGTAGAAAATTGCTAATGTAATGCATCGAGTAGCTTTTATATTACAAGATTGTAGGTTGTTTCGTCCTTTTGATTAACCGGGTTACTTCAAAATTTATTTAAAACAATCAAGAAGTCTGATTTTACCCTTATAATACTCGTTTTTTTTTCAACTCAACTTTTTATTATAATTTTTATTATTCAACACTTCTGACAACTGTGTGTCACATAAGAAGTATACACACTGGCGATATGTTTCTCTTTTCGATCTCTATGTCTTAGAATATATTTGTTTTATAAATAATAATTTAAACTTTGTAAATTTAACATCGATCTTTTTAATCAAATATTTTAAATTTCAATAATCGTCAACATAATTCCTGAAATTAAAGTTTTCTTATAAAAGTAAATATCTTTTTTAAAAGTAAAAGAAGTACTTTGGAATTTTAACCATAATTAATTAAAAATTAGGTCGTTTGTGTATCAATTCCACAAGATGTCGCTAGTGTGTTTACGTCCCCAACTCAATTTGTAGACTCGTAGACTAGACTTCTGTTTGCAGTACGGACAGCGCGTGCCGCCCGCGATAACATGTCGCATATTTCGCGAAAAAAAAGTAAATAAATAAACATAACTTATATATAAGTAAAATATCGTCTTCCAATTCAGTTGTTATCGGGCATCTGAAGTGAGTGTAGCAATAACCTGCTAAAAAATAGGCGGGAAAAATTAAAAAACAAATAGTTTTTTTTTTTTAATTTTAACGATGGAATTCTTTAAAGTGATTTATGTTTTCGGTGTTATTGTCGGTGAGTTTTTCTTTTTTACCGATTTACATAAATAGCGTTTTTAAAATCAATTTTAAAAAAAAACTTTTTAAACTTTATTTTCGGCATATCCAAAAAGTATTATTAATTGTTCATTCATCTTCGCTTATCTGCTACTATATATTTCTTTATTTAAAAGTTGTCCTCAACGAGTATTTTTTTCTTCATCTTTTATACTTCATCCCTAGATGTAATAATTTAGTAGTATATTAATCAAATCAACGCAATAAAAAATCGATAATAGAAATGAGTCTACAGGACGTGTACCTCGCAAACTTTTTTTTAAGTTTTAAGAAAGCTTTATATGTCCAGTCTTAAGACTTCTTCGTTTACAGCATAATTAGTTATTGCAAAGCTCCTGCTGTAAATAAAAATAAAATGTATTAAAAATAATTTGACGGATTGTTTTCTTATATTTAAAATTATAATCTTAAAAAGTTACTACACACATTACAATGAAATGACAAATTTTCTCGTTACTGTGTCTGTACACAACAAACCATCACCGTCGTTGTCGAAAACAAAATTTTCATTCCCTTTTGAAACTACAGATTAAAATTGGTTGCTATACTAGACATGGTTATAAAATTGTGGTATAGTAAAGGGTTTTTTTCATTCGTCCTGACTACGGGACACTAACATTCATTGTAGCGAGATACAATTGGTTATTGAAAATGTGATATCTGAGTTTATCTTACATGCTCTCTGAAAATAGTGCACGGATGCAAATCAATAATGGAATTACTATTCTTTATCAAATAAACGCTTCTATTTATTATTAGTAGCGGTAATTAATATTAAAATATCCATCTTACTTATCTTATTTCTCACTTTTCTTACTAATAGTGTAAATGCGAATGTTTGGGTGGATGAATGGATATTTGTTTGAAGGTATCTCCAGAACGGCTGAACGGATCTCGGAACGGAAAATAGTCTGGAAGAACACATGAGCTACTTATGAAGTTTTTTCGGCGCGGACGGATTTGCGGTTGATAGTTACTATACCTATAATGATTTCAAAAATGTCGCATTCTCGTAAAGAATGAAAACAATTTATTCATGTCTCTTTGACAAAAGTAGGTCGACAGTCAGTTCCACTCACGTTCTTGTCTTAATTGGAACATAACTCTAGCACCCTTTCATACAATAGAGAAACAAACATTCAAAGTGAAATGCTTTTATTCAACAGTGAGTTTACATTGTCGACACACTTATGTAAAAAATTGTTGTCATCCCTTTCATTGTCTTTGAAAAGACAGAGTTAACAAGTATTTCGTGTTTTACTGTAACATGCCACAGTAAAACATTGATTTTGTCAGGACGAGAACAAAGAGCCCTATACTATCCCTCAAATGTTTACAGATTTGTGGTATAATTAATCAATTCAATTCTTAATAAAGAAACCTTCGCTTTACTTAAACTCTTTCAGATTTTTGTTTTCAATTGATTGATTGTAGATCTGATATTGGACTAATAAAAATATTTATTTAGAATTTTATTATATTTCTAACGCCATCTATTAGTTTTTTTTTAATTATATTTCTCAAATCATGACAAAGCAAAAATACTCCTCAAGCACTTTCTGTAGCTAATAAAAAGACTTTTGTATAAAAAGAAAAATTGGTAATGGACAATTAGATTTGGCAGGGGAGGAGAACGGAAAAATCCTCTTTTCATCAAAATTAAGCTGTCATTAGCAACCCCTTAACTATTGTAGATATCTTTGGACAGAGGTCACATTGTTACAGCGAAATTTGTTGACCTCTTGCACATTTGCCACCTTCGACTATAAAAAAACCCAATAAGAACAGTAGTAAAACAATGTACTTATAGTTTTTACATTTAGCAGTTAAATATTTGCAAGCCGTAAACTAAGATAAGGTTTTATTTGAATCAAATACTGTGTCAACGTTAGTAAAATTCCGACCAAGCGAAAGATTTTAAAGTTCTCAGTTAGGTATTTTACCGCGATAAGATACCAACTGTTTAGTATACAATGTGTTGTAACAATTTCAAAGTTAAATGAACACAAAGGAACAGGCGTAAGTAATAAGCTTAATTCACTTTTTGGTTGACCAAAACGTAACCTTTTAGAAACCGCAATGTTTCTTTTTAGGTCAAAAAGTGACGACCAAATAGACCCTTTAGCTTCGGCACGCTGTTTTGAAAATTGTCCTACTAGTATATTTTCATTGCCGTAACAGACAGAATTATATTGTTATTTATGTCTTTTTCATAGAGAATAAAAGAGATGGATATAACTAATAGATAGAATATAACCTAAACCAACAATTTAGATTATATTTAAAATCTTTTGTTACAGGTTTTGTGATGTGTGATTCAGGATCTGATTGGTCGTACAGTTGTAAGTTTTATTATTTAAGTATGTTTTAACACTCAGGGCTATCTTAACTCTTGTGGAAAAAATAACATAATTTACCAATCCAGATGAAACGCAATGGCCCAACCAGTGCCGCAACGGTGGACAGCAGTCTCCCATCAACATCATGACCAGGAACACCGTGGTGGACACATACGGTGCTCATATCCGGGGACCACTAGTCTTCCGCGGCTATGGAGATGTTAACCTTCGCGCAACCAACACAGGCCGCACGTGTACGTTTAACATTTTTACTAAGACACAGTGTTTGAGTTTGATTTTTTCTTTTAAATTATACAAATCATAATTGTCTAATAACGTAAAATCTAATTTTAGTTAGTGAACGTAAGTCAGGATGGCCGAGCGGTCTAAGGCGCTGCGTTCAGGTCGCAGTCCACTTCTGTGGGCGTGGGTTCGAATCCCACTTCTGACAAATATTTTAGTCCCGTTACGATACTTTAAAGATCCCGGGACTCTCATTAGTTGCACTTGAGGGGGGATGGGTTCTATGGAAGATTTCCACCAACACCCAACCCGCCATCACGAAAAAAAAGTTTTAAAAATTGACGGTTACAACATTGGATTTGTTACTCAAGCAAGTAGTCAATTAAATGTAATCCATTGCTATATAAGGTAATATTATTTTTCGTTGTATTTCTTAATTTACAAATGATTCCTTAGTGAAATGGATGGTGGAGGAGGACGGTCCCGCACCTGTGTTGTCTGGCGGCCCTCTCCGAGGCAATTACACGTTCGTGCAATTTCATCTACACTGGTTCTCCGAGCACGCGATAGATGGCATGAAGTACGTATCAACTAAAAAACATTATGAAAATAGTTTTTAGAAAGATTTTTTTTAATTAGGAAATTAAAGGAAATTTACAAATATTTATTGGAAAAAGTAATCGAATCTACGACTTTAATAGCTACTGGCCTTTAGGTTTTTTCTTATGTGAGTTTATTTTTAATATCTGTAGGTACCCAATGGAAATCCACTTACTGCACGTCAAGACTGGACTGACAGTGGCGGAGGCTTTGAAGAGGTCTGATGGTTTAGCTGTCATCGCTGTACTCTGTAGGGTAAGGGCTTGTTCATTCGAATGTATAGTGCAATCTGACATGCTATAACTCCAATAGGGTTGACAAAAGTGGATAAAATTTTATGTTCAATTAATTTTTTAAATCAATTTGTAACAACTCCATGATGAATTATCTATATTTCAATTGTCACTTTATTTCTTCAGTTATCGGTTAAATAACTCAGCTTTATTTAGCTTTTCTTCTCACACCCCTTGAACTACTCAAGTACTATTAAGGGATTTTCTAGAAGTTAGCCTATCTCTTTTCATGTCCATGAACGACGATAGCCACCTCGGTGTTCTCGCAGCTTGTTTGCCCACTTCCTTATAAAAGAACAGACCATTTAAACAATAACGAAACTATCTTAAAGCCGCAGTACTCGGACAACTACGTACAGTCTGTGAAAGCCCTCATGAACAGCTATTGATAAATAGTTTTTGTTTAGGTGTTCGCGGATGACGAGGACAATGACTATAGTCTGCATCAGTTAGCCGACATGTTGCCCTCTCTGCAGAACAGGACAACCGCAGGAAGTGAACTGCCCATCACATTGGACTTGTAGTGAGTACCAATTGCTTGTTTTTAATGCTAAAATATTCAGAGAAGGTAAATAGCCGTGGTTTTCTAATACCAAAATCTGTGTATAAAACATATCGTCATCCCTGTCATTATCTTTGACAAAACAGAGATAACAATCTGTTTTAAACTCAGGTCTCAGAAACTCACAGTAGAAGGTATACAGTATTGGTATCACGTATTATTTATCTTCCACGTGATATATTAAACAATACGACATAATTGTTATGTGACTTTTATCGACAGAAAATATTGCCAAAAATAACAAAGACGTTAATTGCAGGAGTTTGCGAAATTGCGAATAAATTATTATTTATACAGATGTTTAAGTAAGTTTTTAACAAAAGCTTGTTAAGATTAATTTTTAAAAATTATATATGCATGATAAAAATACAATGTAATGCATAATTTGAAATGTCTGGATTTGTATTCAATTAAATTTATTGTTTCATTAACAATAATGTTACACTGTTTAATTTATACTAACCGATAGAAATACAATGTTTTTTCTGTTCAAGACACTATCATTATGAAATACTTTAGTCACAAATTAATCCAAATTTGATTAGTTATTTAGTGTCTTTTGTCCACCAGTCGTCTGATGAGCGCACAACGCCAAGCTTACTACACGTACCACGGCTCGCTGACGACGCCTGACTGCCAGGAAGTGGTCACCTGGATAGTACAGGAGGAACCCATCATCATATCTGACTCACAGGTATATTGTTATCTATCATCATCATCATCTCACTGTTTTTATCTCACTTTATACATTTATATCAGTTTATCACTAAATAAAAGCCTTCTTTCATCCCTACGAGTGCACTTTAATATCTGAAAACCGTAGTCCTATTTATAGGTTTCCTAAGTATTCAAAAATATCGTAGTAGTCTAGACGTGTAATGTATCAAAAATCCGTTGAAAAAATTATGTACCTATTCGTCAAAATAATTAAGAACCTACGTCGGAAAGTTTTACCTAATTAACTCGATTCAATTTCAAAAGTAGATTATTGAATAATTAAAAGTTAGACTAAGTGTAGCTTTGCTCCATCAATTAGTTAATCTCAAGGCCACTCAGAAATGTATGCAACTTCCATAATTGTAATTTTTTTATATAAATATAATAAGAATAAATTCTTCGCTTATATAAATATTTATTTTCTATCCATCCAGTACAAACTATTCCGTCAAGTGAACGTAGGCGGCGTCGACAACTACAGAAGCTTACAACCTACCAACCGAGTTGTGTACCGCAGTGCTGGCTCGTCGTTGTACAATCCATCACCGATCGGCATGCTGGGTGCGCTACTTAGCATCACCTCCTTACTCAAGTCAACTGTCGGTTCGGGACTTTGTTTCATCACCAATTTAAAAAGAAAATTCTTCACCGATTCATCAAACGCATGCAAAGGTGAATAGTCAAGGAATTATTCCCTTCTCATTTAGGGTCATTGTCTTAAGCCAAAACTGTGTCATTGTCTGATCATTATAAGTCCCCACCGAGGGGCTCAGAAACTACACAATTTAGGGGTGACTAGGCCATAGTCAACCACACTGTGTATGTAACCCTAACGAAAAAAATTTCCAACGTATAACCTTAAAATTGACACAGTAAAAGTTAATATGTAGAAGTAATTGCATGGATATTTTTATTAAACTATCTAATGGTTTTTCGCTGGGTGACCACTAGTTAATATGATCGATCAATCGCCAATCAAGTGTCAATAGGCTAAGAAGCGAGCTTATCATTATCTCAAAGGCCGGCAACGCATCTGCGGTTCCTCTGGTATTGCTGATGTCCATGGGCGTCGTTGAACACCTCGGTGTTCACGCTGCTCGTTTGCCCCCCTTCTGTTATAAAAAAATGGTTAAAGGTACGGATTTCCGATCACGTGGTCGAGAGTTCGAATCCCGTCATTCGACTATTGTCGTAAACCATATCCTAGCACAAGCCTAGAGCTTAGATGAAATGGTAGAAAGAAATATTAGTAAATACACAAAAATCTGCAAATATTAAAAAAAATCGCTAATGAAATTAAGCTTCATAATTTATCAATTATTGTACACGTGTGCAATAATCCCACTGACGTGTTATGCATTAGGATAATCCTAGTATACATTATATCAATCAAACAATTATGACATCATCGTATTATCAATGTAAATATAAATTAAATTAAATTTATACTTATTAGCGTAAGTTTCCACTGGTGTAACATCTGTGCTTCAACAATTTTGACATCTCGTTCATTCTCATATCAAAATTGTCAATTTATCTGATGACACTATTAAACGTTTTAACAACATTTAGGATTCAAATAGTTAAGTTTAGTAGTACGTAAGAATTTATACAGTTATTACCCACTATACATCCTCTCTGTATCGCAAGATTAGCTGTAAGAGGACTCTTTGAGAGTTAAGCTCACCTGTACATCACTGTATTTCTATGTAATGTTACACTATGTACTTTAAACTGGGTACAAAGCTTAAAAATAAATAAATAAACATTTTAAATGTTTTACGCAATTATCAAACAAAACAATACTAAATTTCGATTTACTATTAGTGCCATTTCACCTTCAATATTTTTTAGGATGTGTGGGTTTCTGACACCAAAAACTGTGTATAAAACATATGATGATGAGAACCGGAGGCGTAATTTTAGACCTCTTTCCCTTCCTACCCTTTCCTTATAAGAAAGGGGATTTGATGGAGGGAACGTATAGGAAGGGGAAGAATTCTCTACGTACGTCTCTTTCGACAATTAAAGTCACGCCCCGTCATTTCGGTGAATTCAAGTGGCCGCTTGTTTGTAAAACGGATAAATTTTTAAACTTCTGATCTCAGAAACCCAGTTAGTTATCTATTATTTTACTTAGGGCATAGTTTTTAAACGTAAAACTTTATCAGATATAGTAATATGTAACAAGTAAATATTAGTATGTCCGTTTTGAACATTTGACATAAATAAACTGTCCAATGGAAAAATTATTTTATCTTTTAACATGTTTGAGAATCACTTAATTTAAAAGTTACATTTATTTTCTTGACATATTTACATTCTTTTGTTTTGAAACATTTCTAAAAAGTAATTAAGGTTTTATTTTTTTAAATTGAAATAAGAGCTATTTACGCTAAATAATTTATACGAAATTAAAACGATTGCTTAAGTTAATGAATTCATATTAAGTTTTATCCGATTCATACCAGATTTTGATAATAATCAAACGATTAATTTTAGTAATTTATTTGATAATATTTAATGACACGATATGTTATCCATATCTTACATAAATATAAAGAAATTAATCCTTAAATATTTAATAGCAATTAATTGTTTTAACAAAACACAGTACCAGATATATTACTATATAAAATATTTTAAGTAATTTTAAAATAACGACTAAAATATTAATTAATTTATACCGTTATTTTTATACTTTATGTAAAGGTTTATTTTTCTTTCAATAATAAAAAATAAATTCCAGCTTGATACCTTCACGCATTTTTGAGAAATGGGCCTTTACAGACAGACGGACGGACAACAAAGTCATCCTATAAGGGTTCTGGTTTTTTCTTATGAGGTACGGAACCATAAAAATTACCTATTTCTTAAACCAAAATTTAAGTTTTTTGTCAAATATTTTGTGTATATTTCATATATTTCGCTTCTTTGTTATTTAATTGTCGCAATCTCAATTTAAAATCTTTTTAATGTTACAGGAAATTTATAAAAATAAACTTTCGATTAGATAATCAAGTAATCAATATTTATATAGATAAAATGGTAACTAAATACCTAACTCCGTCACCTTTACTTATACCACAGACTAATAAAAATAGATGCGTTCACTTAAATTTTATTATTTTCAAAAATCGACTTTTGTACGAAAAAAATAAAGTTGGAAGATTGCTTCCAACTTTATTTTTCTTTATTTTAAATAGGAAAAAAAAAGAAATGAGTACTATTATTTTTTCTATTTGTTATGTAAGCTTTGTGTTTAGTTATTTAATGTTAATATTAAGGACAATGTAATATAATTTTTTACATTTTTTATTTTTTTTTAATGAGTTAGTAAAGTGATAGTTTTCGCTAGATATGTTGTTTTGATATAGATAACAATCGTTTTGTTCTATTTTTTAATTAGTATATATATTAATGTAACTTAAACTTAAAGTGTAAGTTAACTTTATTAATATTTAATTGATTTTGTAAACGTAAGATTCTTCATCATGCATATTGAAAAATGCATTAATTTTCTGATAAATTTCTATATCGCAAAATTAACGCAAGTCTGATATATGTTTTTTTTTGTAGTCTTAAGATAAAATATCTCATGGTTGTTATTTTTTGTGTTCTTTAGTGATAATTAAATTATTTCATATACAAGACTTTTGTTTTATTTTTTGTTGTGTCGATTGTTTTTGGAACCCCTTGAAAAATATATTGTTGTCTCTGTTTTTTGAAAGAGACTGTAAGGGATGGCAATATGTTGTGTGAAGAACCATCAAAGGATCATCTTTCACTAATTAAGATTGCCATCTATCCACTTATCCACAACCATTGTTGTATATATCGGAATCAGTTTGACTGATATTTAATTCTTTTATTAAAGACTAGCTGTCGCCGGCGATTCCATTTGCACGGAATCAAAAAATAATAAGTGGCATATGTGTTCTTCCCGACTATTTTACATATTTGTGCCAAATTTCTAGAGATACCTTCTAACAAACATCCATCCATCCATCTATAGGGTGTCCCAAAAGGTTACGTACATAGGAAGGGGGATGATAGGGGTGGTCACAAGGGTCACCAGAAAAATAAAATAAAAATTCCCTTCTGGGTATTAAAAAAAATTAATGGCATTTTGGGTTATTGACGATAACATAATAGTTTTTTTTAAGTATAGCAATATTTGTAGGTCATCGGTTACAAAATTGCCCCAGAAGGTGTAAAATTTTTAAGTTTTTAAAAAATGCCATTTATTTTTTTTAATACCCAGAGGGGAATTTTTCTGGTGACCGTTGTGACCACCCCTATCATCTCCCTTCCTATGTACGTAACCTTTTGGCACACCCTGTATACACTCCTATTTATAATATTAGTAAGAAGTATGATATAAAAATACATAAACTTACGTAAAAACTGATTACATAATAATGACTTTAAATAATTATAACGATTTATAATCATCTAATCATGTTTTATAACCTCACAATCAGTTAATTTTTATTATTCTATCGCAATACCAATATTCTTGGCAATAAATCATTCGGCATTCTTACATAAATGCTTTAATTGCATTGTTTCCTTTAACAGTTAAACATACTTCAATGGCTGATGATAAGATAAAATTTACAAATACTTTTATGCTAGCAAATTCTAAAGCATTAGCATTGTCATCGTTTGAATATGTTTTTTTTAAGATAGCAGTTGCCCACGACTTCTACCGCTGGGAATTAAAAAAAAATTATCTATATCACCCAGGGATAGTGTAGCTTCCCAAAAGTGAAAGAATTTTTGAAATCGGTTCAGTAGTTTCGGAGCTTAATCAATGCAAATAATCAAATCTTTCCTCTTTATAATATTAGTATAAATAAATGAATATTAATTATTTCCAATATGTTTAAATTAATTAAAAAGCTCTTATTTATAAAACAACATCAAAGAAAATTAGAAAATAAGAGGGTTTCAAGAAATTTCACCAGAAAAAATGGATATAAACTAAATAACCTAACATAACCTAACTAGTTAGATATTAAACAACAATCAGTCTGGATTAGTCGCACCGACATAAGCCTTTATATATCTTGTCAAGAAAAATATAGATAAGTCTTTTCCCTTGACGAATTTTCTATATTTTAAATCATTACTTCGCTTCGTTGTAAACACCATGTAGGGAGCTTACCACTCATTTTGTTTACAGACTTGATAGGGGAAGGGTGGACTCTTTAAGGGTGTTAAATTCAACGCCTGAAGTCACTTGAATGAAGGGTGGATTTCCACGCATTGTTAAAAGCTGTAAATCATCCGCAAACACTTGAGATTTGATATATTAAAGTTCTTTTGCACAATATATTTAATATTTATTTATTAAAAATAGCTCGAATAATGCATTTCTTACTTTGCATCGTTTCTAGCATTTTTTTTCATTGAATAAACCAGTGCTGGACCAGAAACCCACTTGATAGTGGCTAAGTGATCTATACACTCTAGCTTAGTAAATACCTATTCACCTTACTCTTGAAGGCACCCACGTTATAGCTTGACAGAAACACTGACGCTGGCAACTTATTCCAATCCTTCACTGTGCGAGTGAAGGACCATATACAGGATGTAAAAGAATTGTTATGGAATCTTCTACGATCAAAACCGTAGCCTAAAAAACTCTAGTTACATTTGTTCATCATTGTTTTATTAAACGATACTGTTACATAGTATGCATATTTAATAACAAATTTGTTTATTTCCTATTGGAATGTTGTTTTGTAAACTGACGTACGTACACACGACAATTTATTCATCACCAGTCGATACCACCGGCCACTTTGTCTTCTCTGACAATGGCAAACTATATTATATCTATTCTCTTGTTTACAGGTAATTCTTTTATATTTAATAAAGTAGTTAAAATAAATAGACATATTATTTAAAGTAGTTAGTTTTTTTTATTTTATTTTATACTATCTTTTTTTTTCAGAAATCGCTGGATTGCGTTATCCGTTTCATTGGTCATACGAAGGTTTGATTTTTTATTTAATTAATCGTAATATTTCATATTTTTATAGGAAATTATTTATAATTACATAGTAAAGTATTTAGTTTTGTATAACATATAGAAGAAGAACAAAGAAGTAGTAAAGTCAGTCAGAATCATTTACATCTATATAGGTAAATGTTAAATCCAGACTAATGGCCTAAAATCACATATTTGCATGGATGGATGGATATTTGCTTGAAGGTATCTCCGCTGCTGCATGGATCTCACTGAAAATTGACTTAGATGTATAACATAGTTGGGTAGAACACAAGCTACTTATTAAGTTTGCTTGTAATTCTGCACGGACGGAATTGTGGGCGATAGCTAGTAAACTATATTATTATAAATATTCAGAGGAGAGTAAATGGCCGGGAGAGAAGTGCAGAGTCGGGGGATCGCGACAGTCGCCCATCGACATAAAGCGGTCAGACGTCGTAAAGGACTTTGATGGTCGTTTCATCAAATACGGTGAAGTCGTGCTCTCCGGGTACCAAGCGGTCATCATGGCTGCCACAAATAATGAATACACAAGTTAGTACCTAAAACTAGTTGGAATTTAAAATCGAACAGCTTACTTCTTACTTATATAATAAATGCGATTTTTTAAGCTAATTAAAAATTTAATTACGAATGTTTCGATAGATGTATGGATGGATTTATGTTTTTTAAAAGGTATCATCTAGTAAGGCCCCATGGATCTCGCTGAAATTTGGCATAGGTGTAGAATATAGTCTAGAAAAGCACATGCGCTTAATTAACTTAATTAGTAAATTAAGTTTTCGAGTCGTAGGTAACAGCTCCTAAGTTCATAAGTATAAATTTTCTTCAGTAATGTTCAGCACAGAAGGCAATCCTGATAATCACCCGACGATGCGCGGTGGCCCACTGCGACAACCCTATCGACTGGAACAGATGCACCTTCATTGGCTCTCCGAGCACGCCATAGATGGTGCAAAGTACGTATATTAGAACCCTATTCTACTAAGCGAACGAGCGCAATTGTCTCACAATTCCACCATTATAAATAGTGAGTTTTTAATGAATGTACAGATTTCCTGTTGAAATCCACTTGGTGCATGTGCGCTCCGACCTGGACGTGAGGAGTGCGCTTAAGAGGAGAGACGGACTCGCTATTTTAGCGTTATTTGGTAAGGTAAGGAATTATATCAACTATTTCAAATGGAATTAAAGAGACGGAATTGAAATACATATGTTGGGCCGGTATACAAATAAATATATATGTAGGTAAATGATACATTGGCTAATTTTACTTCTTACGCCGTCAGATTATAGAACAAGATGAGCCTATGGAGACAGCATTCGACGAAATGACAGCTGTTATCTCAAAGCTGCAGGTCGTCGGCAGCCGCCTCAAAGGCGTAGTGATGGACTTGACGTGAGTAAACGATCTTTATCATCAAATACACGTTTGTCCAATTACTTAATAGTAAGCGATTATGTTTGATGCATTTGTGATGTTGGATATTTATTAAACAAATTTGATAAAAATTTGATTGTTTCCGTTACTTATAAGTAAATAAGGGGGTCTCTTTTCTCTTTTTTGCCCCGGCTAAGTAATTCGGTTCAATTTTTTTTATGTCAAGTTCATAAAAATCTTTTTAATTTTTGTTGTAAGACTCAGCAATATTTGAATAAACTTGCTTAAACGGTATCAAAGTTTGAACCTTCTTTTGACATTGAACTTACAGACAAAGCAAGAAAGTACTTAATTAAATTATTTTTGGTTATTATAAGATAATGCAAAGATAAGATAAGATAGAAAGTTAATCTTACTACTACCACGTCACAAATGTACATATATCTAACGTAAAATTATTATATATATATATATATATATATATATATATATATATACAGATCTTTTAAAAGTAGGTTTCTGAGACAAAAATCTCTGTATAAACATATTGTTATCCCTGTCATTATCTGATTTGGTCTTAGAAACCACGATAAGTACATGTACACGCCTATTTTCTGTTAGGCCTATATTCGATTTAGGATTCAATTTGTGAGTTAATTTGTTCACATCCTAATTGTTCAAATAAGATGTTTCCGTACCAATCGAATCTTGTTAAAAAATTAAAATGAAACACGTGATCCGTCATCGTGTCGAGCGTCGTTGGCTCTGGGATTAAGCACTTAACTTGCAATCTGTAAGGTGCTAGGTTCGAATGCCTTGTACCAATGTGTTTTTCGATTTTCGATTTACATATATACATTTATCCGACTTTCTTACGATGAAGGAAAACATGGTAAAACAACCTGCACATATCTGAGAAAAGATATAATATATGTGAAGTCAACCAACCCGCACTAGGCCAGCGTGGTTGACTAAGACCTAGTCACCCCTAACTTAAGGAAGGCACCGAGCCACTCAGTGGAAACGTATAGTGAGCTGATAATGATATGATCCAAAATGAATCAAGCTCAGAAAAATGGTAACAAAATTGAGTTTTAACTGTCTTAACATAGGTATTCCTAGGTATATTTATTATAGTTCTATAATCTTCACTATTTTAATACATTTATCAACTAAACGGTGCGTAAATTGATGATTAGACATTTAATAACGATTAACATGTGAACTTTGAATATATTTGTATAAAATCAAAGCGCGTGAATATAACAATGAATAAAAAAATCACTGATTCGACTTAAGATTAAAGATAATTAAAAAAATATTATAATATTGATATTGACATTTATCAGTCTGTAATTAAAATATTTGTTTTATCACACTTTAATTCTAAATATGGTTATATAATGTATTTTAATTATAGGCCTAAAAAGATAAACAAAATCATTAGCACAATATCTACAACAATCATCTATTAATATAGATTAGTTTCTATTTTGCCTAGTTTTTTTTTATGATCGTACAAGATGGCAAGTCGCTAAAATAGCGATATGACGACTGACAGAAAAATACCCTTCCTGTAGAATGATATGGTACAGTCAGCTGCATAAATATATAAACATTTTTAAAACTTCAGAAACTTGTATACGTGCATTCAAATTTTTGAAGAAGAAGGCGTATACAAGTTCTAAAGCTTTGTAAATGTATTCATATACAGTCAGCTGCATTCAGCTGACTGTACAATAAAAATTATTTCAGCAAACTATTCGCTCCCAACACGAGTATTTACTACACGTACGCTGGTTCTCTGACTTCACCCATGTGCAACGAGGTCGTCACGTGGATCCTTTTCCCTGAACATATTTATATGACAGAAGCACAGGTAAGAAAAAACATACTATAGTTGTAAATGTAGACACTTAAAATAAAAAAGGTATATTCTCACATATTTAGTTAGAAATATAGTTCTGGACTTAAATCTTTCCCTAACACATATGATTTGACTTAAAAGGAAATTATAGAAAAATAAAATCACATCTCAGCATGAAGACGATAAAGAACATCTGTTAATCTTCTTTAACTACTTCCTCATTAACAGCAAACTTCTTTACATTTCCAGTACAACTTGTTAGAAAAGCTTCGCGAAGGGCAGTACAACTACCGCAGTCTGCAGCCGGTGGTGCGGCAGACCGTGTACCAGCCACCAGCGAACTTCCTCATGGAGCCGCAGATCGTCACTTCGATCAAGAATGCACTCATCTCTGTAGTAAACTTCTTTACCAATGTTACGAGGTATTGACTGATGATACGTAGATAAAGCTATTGAGTAAGAAAGATCGTGTTAAAGAAGTGATAATCTATCGATTGACTGTTTAAAGACGTATTCATCAATGATCATTTTGGCATACTATTATGTATCTTGTTTCTGTAACAACATTTAAACTAATGCTCGACCGCGATACCTCATGATGTACTCTTGATGTGGTCACAGGATGTACGACCTAGCTAAGTTAATAAAAAAGAGGTTGCCTTTAGAGTATATAGCTCTTTTTTTGTTTCAGCTTCATGATGAAAGGTTTTGACACACCTTAGCGTAAGGCCAACGGGTTGGATAACTTTCAAGCATCTCCGTCACTTATATCGAGTTGGATAGATAAAATATGGAAAGTTCTGGAGAAACTCAACCCGTGCGCAGATCCCAAGTCGTATATGTGCTCCAAGCTCCGTGGATTGTGTAAGAAACTCAATCTACCGGGTAGCACTTGTTAGAAAAGTAGTTAATACACTAACTTTACTGGACAAGTACATTTAGCTGCATAAATATGTAAACCCTTACATAATTAAAAAAAACTGATATAGGTCTTCGGTTTCAAAAATACGTATGCACAAATGTTTGATACCGAAGGCGTGTACGTTTTTAAATCTTTGCGAATGTATACATATTTAAGCAGCTGACTGTACAGTTGCACGAAAATAGGTGCCGAAGACCTAAATTACGTCCACTTTACCTTCCCATCCTTTTCTTATAAGGGGAAGGGGAAATATTCTCTTTTTGTGTGTCTGCAATTGTAGATATCTATCGACAACGCTTGGCAATTTCAGAAAATGCAAACGGTGTACTATAAAAAATAGCTTAACCTTGTGCCTAAACTAACTTAGGCTTTTGAAAAAAAATCTCTATTATGGGATTTTAACTTGTTTTCCTAACGAAAAACCTGTACCAAAACTTTCAATCATTTTTAAAAAAAATGTTTTTGTACAAGTATTTCAGGAATGAAAACACACATTTTTTTAATAATTTATAACTTGTATTATATATGTCAAATAAAAAACTTTACCGTGTCGTATGTATTTATTTCAATAATATTAACAACTTCACACACATACAAGCAGCCGCGTCACTGCAATGTGTACTCTGACGTATCATACATAAGGTTTAAATTACAACACACATTTATAAATTATATACATACAGGGTTGAGTTTAGTTTATATTTACTAGATTGATGGTTACTGAGGAAATTATGCAGTTAAAATTGTTTCTATATAATGTTAAAGTTCGTTTAAATAAAATAAATAATACGTGATAAACTAATTAGTAAACTACGAAAGAATGACATTTTTGACAGGTTTAAGTCGTGAGAGCTTAAATTTACATATAACAATTTTTGTTTTTAATAAAAAGAACTGAAACTTTAAATTTAGCCATCTATAAAAAAATAACGTTTGTTCTTTTTTTGTTACTAAACCACAGATTAAATCATTATAAAGCTTCGGCAGAATATTTTAATGACGTCAGAGAATATTTCTATCCAAAAATCTGATATTCTGTTAAAAAAAAAAACTTTTTTGAAATTATTTAGACTTTTCACATTATTTTTGATTTCAAGATTTTACGTTAAGGTTTTTTTTAAATAACGCAAGCTTTAGGTAACTTACAAGGGAACTTGATCTGACACTATTTACAGATAGACGACTAGGTCGTTAAAGGAATCTAGAATTTAGCATTTCAAAGCTTTAAAATATTCTTACATTTATTTAAAATGAATTTTAATGATAATAAGTTACAAAATTATGTTTAGTATTTTCAACAATAAACAGTATTCACTGTAAAATCAAATAAAAGTCTGTATTCTGTCTACTTACTTATGGGCTTAATTTATTATATCTGTCTACCCCTAAAGTTACATTGGTGTTTTCTGTCATTGTAAAATTAACCTAATGACATCACAATAGCTAACAAAATGATGTAAACCTTTGAATCTGGATAAGCAATAGTCCGCGTTTTTCTCGCTTATAGAGGTTTCTTGAGTCCGTCAGGACCGGAAAATGAATCTCGCTTACAAAGGTCTCTCGGCTATCCAAAGGAGTTAGACAAAGTGCATTCGCTCCGAAGCGATTCCATAACGAACATCTCGTGACTTATCGAAAGTTATCATTTCTCTAGATTATTAAAGTTCGTTATGGAATCTCTTCGGAGCGAATGCACTTTGTCTAATCCCGCAGGTTCGAGTGTATTTGTACAATGACGAGGATAACACTATAAGGAATTACTGACGATCTGTTTTAGCCGCTTTTCTATATACTGCACTCTGGTTACCAACTTGTCTTTAGGATTGAACTCTGTGTACGGTATTTGAAGAACTTTGAAACCCTGAAAGAAAATTTAATATTATAACTCAACAGCGATAAAGCCTAAAGGAACTTAAACTTTCAGATTAAGAAAACCTACTATTTTAAGTAGCTAATCTTACTAATATTATAAATGCGAATGTTTAGATGGATTTTTGTTAAAAGCTCTCCGGAATGGCTTAACAGATCTCGCTAAAATTTGGCACAGATATAGAACATAGTCTGGAAGAACACATAGGCTGTTAAGATTTTTTTGTATTGAATCTGACGGAGTCAAGTCCGACAGCTAGTATAATGTAAACAACTAGTATTTAAGACAACTTCAGCGTTGCTGATGTCCATGGGCATCGGAATAAATAATTTTAGGCATCAGACTGCTTGTTTGCCCTTTTCTCTTATAAAAAATGATCAGTTACCTTCATCTCCAATAACTTGGTGTAGAGCTGGTTGACTCCGAGCGGCACCACTGTTCGTCGCGTCATGTCGTGGTAATCTAGACCTAGGACTGCTATCCTGTGCACGCTGGGAACAAAAATAATATTATCTTATATTATAAATGCGAATGTTTAGATGGATGGTTATTTGTTAAAAGGTATCTCCAGAACGGCTGAACGGATCCGGCTGAAATGTGGCATAGATGTAGAACACAGTCTGGAAGGATACATAGGCTACTAATTAAGTATTTTTTTAAATTCTGCACGGTCGGAGTCGCGTGCGAACGCTAGTAGTAGTAACTAATAAACCATAAGTGGTCCCCCCTTCGACTAATAACATAAAAATTTCACATGATCCGTATCACAGTATCTTTTCAAAACCTATGAGTTTTCTATAAATCAAGTGTTTCTAATTTTTTATATTAACCTTTTATCATTCACTGCTTTTTCTAACGGTACAGGATGACATTTCGAGTTTAGAGCAAATTCCGCATCTGTAAATAATTAAACACAATTTTTTATTATAAATATAGGTATAAAATAATCATAGCAATATAACATATAATATCGAAAATACAAAAAACATGACATCGAATTCTTTCAGAGAGATTGAGATTGAAAGAGAGGGAGTGAGTGAGATTGAAAGAGAGGGAGGGAGTGAGAGAGAGAAAGAGAGGGAGATGGAGTGTAATATTTGTACTAAACTGAGTCATATAACTTACCATACAAAAATCCCATACCGGAATAACACTCTCTCTTCATAAAGGCGTCAGCTGAGACCAAAGTTTTAAATGTATCCATAATGCTCTGCACATAAAGAGCTTTTTCCTTTGTATAAACGATGGGCACGCCCACAGAGATGTCCTCCGCGAGGCGCGCGCCGTGCTGCGGGAACTTGAGGCTTATGTACGCGTCTATTGCCATCAGCTTACGACGCGCTGGGATTGGGATCTCTGGAATTTTATTACAATTATGTGTTCAAATCAAAAACACGCCTAGAACATACCGTGGTAGCGTAAATCTTACATTATAATATTATAAATGCGAATGTTTGGATGTATGTTTATTTGAAGGTATCTTCAGAAAGGCAGAACGGATCCCGATGATATTTGGCAAAGATGTAGAACATAGTCTTGAAGAACACACAGGCTATTAACTTTTTTTTCGTTCCGCGCGGACGGAGTCGCGGGCAAAAGCTGTCTTTATATAAAATGTTTAAATATGGTTAGTATATTTGGTTCCGATACAAACCCTTAATTAGAAAAAACATTCACATAACTATGTCTAAGCTACCCTTATCTTTTAACGCTTCGCTTTATTTCTCAATTTTTACAAAATAACAGAAAAACTCAGATATCGCAATGGTCACTATAAAATTTACATTCCTCTGTTTTTAAATTCGGCGTTGGATTTACACTATCTCTCAAAATATTGACTCACCTCCAGCAGAAAGCAGCTTATCAATAAAGTCCGGCCTGACAGTGGACAGCAGGTGATCATCCCGGGCCTGGCTCAGCGTCAGTAAAGAGAACACTAAGTCCAGCCACGACGACGGCTTCATCATCTCCTCTTCTTTCAATGATAATGCATTCTGGAAATAATAAACATAAAACTGGTAGACACCAGCAAACATCTGTTGCAAGAATTTGCCTCATCCGCTGCAATACCATGAACAAAACAAGAGACAGACCTCAAGTGGAAGTCATTCTGCGTTTTGTCTGATGAATGTCTAATGCCATAGGGCTCATTTTAGTCCCCTTCTCTTTCCCACCCTTTTCTTACAGAAGATAAAAAAGATGGGAAGGAGATATAAATTTTTTCTGTGTGTCTAATACATATATTTTTCTGTTGACAGTCGTCCTTATTTTCAGCAAATCAAGGCGCCCATAGACATTCACATTTTCAAATGCATTGCCTACCTATAATGATGATTAAAGGATGGACACCGCTGATGAGCGGACATACAGAAAGAATATTATTCCCCTTCCTATTCATTCTCTCCTCGTTACCCACTTTAATAAGGTCATTTAAATAATTTACTATAAACCAAAACAAAATTGCTCTCACCTCTACCAATCCATCAGACAAGGGAGGTACAAAGTCCACAGTACCAAAGGTGACCACTGCTGATGCCACATCACTTGCTCGGCAGACATCTTTGTGAGTTTGCAGCCAATCTGCCAGTGCGGAGAGGGCAGCCTCGTGTCTATATCGTAGCAGACCCAATGACACCATAATGGATGTCACCACCGCTGGCTTGTCTTGGTTGGATTTCAGGTTGCTTATTACATCACTGGAAGAAATTATTATAATACACAAAGTGGCGTTTATTACAAGATGATTGATGTTGAATTGCCAATACCAGTGGAAATAGACACTAACTAATTATAATCAGTTAGTAAAAGCCTATTTTCACTAGCGGTGTGCAACTGCTATAAAAAGGAAAGTGTTAGAGTTGCGTGGATAGCTGCTACGTGCAAATGCGATTTTATTGAGTAGCCTTCATTTTGGAAATTTATTTTTAAATGTTGCAAGTAGCATATATATTTGAGAAATGGCAATGACCCAAATTTCTTTGAACTTTTAGTTCTATCGTATTATATTTAAAAAAAGTTATATATTTTAATTATCTTCTTACTTGCATATCCTATCCATTAGTACAGGATCGGGGAAATTCAATGATGCCATAGCAAATAGCAGGTCAGCAGATTTCTTTAGATCCAATTGCTCTGATTGATTGGTAATATTATGAGAGAGTGCGCGAAGTAAAGGCGTGCTGCGACGGCCCTTTGAATGTAATGCCTTCATTACCTGCAAGGATAATTTACATACAAATTTCTCATAACATTATTAACTTTGAAACCTTAGTTTTCATTCATAATTAAATTGGTCTGGTTTAACTAGATGGTTATCTTACTAATATCATAAATGCAAATATTTACATGAATGGATGGATGTTTCAAGGTGTCTCAGATCTCTATGAAATATGGCACAGATGGAGAACATAACCTGGATGAACATATAGGCTACTTTTTTTTAATTCCACAAAGATGGGGTCAGGGGCAACAGCTAGTTATCTATAAGCGGATGCAATTTCTCATAAGTTTTTTAAATTACCATAATATTGTCATATTTACCTTTATCATTTGTGTCAATGATAAATTACCAATCAACCTTGCAGCCTCATCATCCCCTGTAATACCCAGCACTGTACTTAAATCCTCCGCCATAGTCAAAGAGCTTAAAGCTTGTGATGATGTAGACCGAGCGAGAATCCTGCACAATTTTAAAAACCGAGGGTCCTTCTCAAAGTCACTCAGTTTCACTTTATTAGTGCTAGACCATTCTGATAGGGTTGACACCATCTGAAAATAATATAAAAAATATGTGTAGAAGAATATCAATTTATGACATTATTTAAGCAGCCCCTTTCGATTCGTCATTGCAGAACCTCTGACATTTTTGTTTATTATTTTATTAATTTGCATTTGTAATATTATAAATAAAATGCTTGTTCAATAATATTACCTTTAAAATAATATTACCTTTAATGCATGTCGTCTAGAAACTATAGGATTCTCAGCAACCAGTAGTAAACTGTTGACATCATTTGCTTTAGCAATTTCATTTTCTAATATCTGGTGACGGTTCAGCTTCACCGACTTTGGACTAGGCTTCCTGCTGTCCTCACTCTCTGGAGAGTTTATGGAAGCAAATGCCGCTGCTACTAAACCTGCTCATTTAAATTTAATTTTCATTGTGTATTAACATAGTTCTGTTTTAACCAAATTTTCGATAATTAATAGGTGTTAAGTCCGATAATAATTATATTATAAATGAGAATGCTTAGATGGATGGATGTTTGTTTGTAGGTATCTCTAGAATGGCCAAACGGATCTTGATGAAGAACACATAGGCTACTAATTAAGTTTTTTTTTATTCCTACTGGACATAGTCATGGTCGACATTTAGTAGAAAATTTATAGAAGCATCAACTATGTAAACATATAACAAAGTTATTTTATGCCAATATAAATGGTAAAACTAGATGGTCATGGTTCAATAAATACAACAGTTTATCGAACTGATTTTATTTTTACTTATTACTGGACTTGTACTAAGTTCTTTGTTTCGATTTTTATGATAACTCATGATCTATACTGATATCATGATATATACTGTGTCTAATAAAATGTTTCAAATAAAAATCGTTTTTGATTTTCAATGTACATACTTGGATTATCTCTGATTTTTGTTTCTGGACTAGTTATGTTTTTGTCAGAGGTGCTTTTTGAAGACTCAATTTTTTCTATTTTGAATACTGTAGCACTAGGGCTGGAATACTTCCTTATTATTGCTCGGGATCCTAACCTCCAAATTACTAACCCATTGAACTTCAACATCTGAAATTAGACTTGACTTTTTAGAAATAATATATGCCGAAAAAAAGGTCCTGGTGATGATCCCTTTAAAATCTGTCGTCAAAATATTTAAAGAAATAGAAAAACTTGACAAAAAATACGAAAGACATATTCTTACATCACTACAAGGAGATAAACAAAACAATAAATAGTCATGAGTAATATATGCAAAATAGGAAATTTAACTTTAAAAATTACCTTAATAATTATATTCGTGTATATTAAATAATATAATGTAATCCTTACATTTAAAATATTTTAAAATATATTTGATATTTTTTATATGTTTTTGACAATCTAACCTAAATGTTGCCAATTGTCAGAATGTAGATAAAGATAAAAATCCCTTAAATTAAACTACGGCTGATTTTTTAGAAAAATGTTTTAAAAAGGAAATAGTTCAACTAACTAATAATTAAGTTCTGAATGCTAATCATCTTTGATTTAAACGAATGTGACATGTTATTTTACTCAACATTGGGTATTTTCTTAACATATCAGAACGATTTTGAACTCGCGACTAAGTTTTGATCATATCATTCCTAATTATAATTAAACTTGGATCGTAAAAAGAGCAAATAATTGGAAATCTTTTGTTTTAAACTGTTACGTAACAACCATGTGTATAAAATATATTACTCTGTAATGAAAATTATTACTTCTCTTGTCCTCTGATTTTTTCATAAATGTCATAACCATATCCTATAACTTATCTGTGGTTTCTCTATGTTTCAAGCGGCCGTGGGTGGGAGATTTGTTGTGATATTTTAAATTAGTAAAATATTTAAAAAGTAATACAGAATAAGGATAAACGACAGAAAAATGGTACGCATTTCATTTAACTATTGTTTGTAATAAAGTTTTCTTGACATATATCTGAAATTCGCTTTATATGATGCATCTTAATGTAACGAATTTAACCGAAAGTGTGACTTTTGCAATGTATTTTCTATTTATCATTGATTTCTACGGTAATTCCAAATTCAAATATCGTATAAGTGAGAATCTTTCCAATTAAAAATGTATTACCGCAATAATTAATGAGATATATTTCTACCTGCGGAATTGTGTTTTGTCTCTTGAATTGTCAAAGTCACATAATTTTTATTCACAAACTGTATAAAATTAAAGTAAGATGATCTTTTGTTTTAGCGGATTAAAGTTTGTTACTAAAATTCCAATAACTTTTGATTTAATTTGTTTATTTACAAAATGCATATCCAGTAAACAAAATAATAAAAGTAAAACAACACAATAATTTATCATAGAGGTAACTTATATAAATCAGAAGATGTAATATTTCAACCTAATATTGTGCAATGTTAATCTTAGCAAAACCCAATACCTATTCTTCTTAACAAATCTGCAATTTTAACAATTACACCTGCATCCTATCACTTCACTTATTTTATGTTGCGGGAAATGTAAATAAAATTGATTTTGCATAACAACTTAAACTTCTTGAATAATACAAAATTTCTCTATAATGTGTTCTTTTGACTTATCTATGATGTTTGATTCACAGGCGGGGGCAGGTGGCGTTGGCGCATCTCTCTGAGAGCGCCGCGCTTTGCGCCCCCTCCCGATACCAGCTAGGTAAGTTTCAATCTAATTTGCACATTTGATAAGTAGGTAATTGCTATTGCTAGTGTATATGTGTTGATGAAGTTGCAACCTTTTTTAGTCCGAAGGGTTTGACTGATTTTGAAAATTAATGTTTTATTTCCTTTGTATTCTTCTCCAAAATGTCATAGGACTACACCGAACCCGATTTTTTTATTATTTGACTTCTTTATTACTATTTACAATTAAGATTATTATTATTTTTAACAAATTTCTTTATTTCAGGTGAGAAATACAAAACGCGCCCATGGATCGCCAACCGACTTATATTGAAAGGTAAGCTAAGTCAGTTCATTTTTTTATACCTATGCTTAATATTTTTTTCTGTACTTATTATATAAAAAATAAAACAAAGCAATATTAAAATTGCAGTAAGAATGTGTTTACAGTACAAAAAATTCTGTTTAAAAGAGGTTGCATACTGTGAATAAATATGACTCTGTGTCATATTTTTTTATCTATCACCTTGAAATGTTTTACAAACATTCTTGTCTGTTTACTTTTCACATTTTATAGTAACCTTTACCTACTTTCTATTTAATTAATATAGAATCTTTATCTTGCACTTTATCTCACTACATTAACGAAAGAGAATTGTTAAATATTTACCAATTCCACTCATGGGTGTTTCCCATTGGACGGATCGGCGTACCAAGCAAGCGGCGAAATGGGAATTACATACAAAACTTTCATACAGAAACTGTCTATTATATCTGTTTTGTCACCAAAAATGAGAGTTGATAATATGTTTTTGTACAGTTTTGACAATGGAAACCCAAGGTAATCGAAACACAGAGTGTTATAGCTTATTGTTTTACTTACATCATAGATATAATTCATCAATTTGTCAATGTATGAATTTTGTCAGTATCAATTTTAATATCTAAGTCTCCATGAAAACGCTATACGTTACTCCTCTAGTATAGTAGTTAAAGTGGTCGTAGTATCAAAAGGCATTAAATCTAAACTGTCGAGATGAAAAACTGGTCTAGACTGGCTCCCCAGACGTGTAACCTATCGTTACAACTTTGTTTATTTTACGGATATATAAAGTAAGCAGCGGAATACCACTGTCGATTAACTTGTATTATACTAGGTGCAGCCCGCTTCTTCGTCCGCTCGGAATTTAAATATTTGTATAAAGTAAAATTGTTGTCTTTGTTTTCTTTAAAGAGAATAAAAGGGATGGCAACATATATTTATTCAAGCCTTTCGACAGTAGGAACATTAATAAGATTGGCTACAGTTAAAAAAAAAACAGATATATCCTAGATCCAATGAATAACATAGACACTGTAAAAGCACAGTGTATTGCAGACAATAAAAAAGATGTACAGAGTATTGAAGTTAAGTGTAGTCATAAAGTGCATTTTATTCGACTGGGCGGTCAGAAGCACCCGGTATCCATAGCAACGGAGATCGATACGTCACGGGTACGGCGAGCGTGTGGGTATGGTTGCGGCAACAGTCGCAACTAGTGAGGGGACTAACTTGTCTTAATAACAGATTGACTGAATTTTATGCCGACTGACTGGTCTTTACTATTTACCTATGACGGTATAAAATGTGTAAATATCTTTTCTAAAACTGTTTAAATTTGTGTAATTTTATCATGTTCTGTCGACGAACACAAATTAAGGTGCTGTCGGGCATCACTAGTAACGCTTAGCGAAATTGCTATTACGTTTAACGTACGTATACGTAGCTAGGAACATGAATAAGACATAAAACAATGTAGGTGGATCAGGTACGGCTTTTAAAATTCCAACAAATATTATTACGTGTCTGGTCTTTCTTGATTAATACATTAATCATGGGTTTTCGAGACCAAAATCTTCGTTTAAACCAAATTGTTATCCCTGTTTCGTTAAAGATAATGATAGGAATGACGATATGTTTTATACAAAGATTTTGACCTCAGAAACCAACTGTAAATGATTTTGTATAAATTGCAGAACAATAGTTATTCGCCCCCTTAATTACATCATGTTTTTCTATGCTATTGCTATCACATAGAGTAAAAATGTTGATTAAAAATACAGCAGATAACCAAAAATAGTTCGAGATTTAATATTGATTTCGGCTATAAATTGATTGTTTTCGAATTCATCTATTTTGAAGTCTATTGTGTATCTATAAGTGACGTCATCGAGCATTTGAATACAGCTATGTCTGCACATCCCGTTCGTAACGAGTGTGGTTGTGGTGAGCCATTGTTTGCGATTATTCTCCTTTCATTAGTGTTTAGTATGCGACTCCGCAGGCTTCCTACGCCAGCGCGTGACGCCAATGTCAATACTAAACACTTGAAACTCGCCGATATCTCTAATTGGACTCCACTGTGTGTGTGAGTACTTTGATTTATCATTTTATTTTTATCAAGCTCTAAAAACATCCAAGAGGAACTCTCTGGTTGCAAATGTCTATGGCGACCTGCACGTTATCTTACTAATAATATAGATACGAATTTTAGGTGGATGATTGAATGTTTGCAAGAAGTTATCTCCAGAACGGCTCAACGAATCTTGATAAAATTTGGGTGGAACATAGTCTGGAAGAACACATAGACTACATATTTAGATTTTTAATTCCACGATTATAAATATCAAAGAAGGATATCTGTTGGTTTAAATTAAGAAATGTATTTTTGCGTGGATGACTAATAGCTTACACTTTATGTTTGCGAATTGCAACCTTCGCAGCCTCTGCACCTCCTACTATATTTTGCATCAAATTTAAATTCCATCGCAGCTCTACAAAAAAAAGGTTTTATGGATAATTTTGCGATCATTTCACTACAAAATTTGATAAACATAAGTATTTACCTCCTATACAAACACAAACAAATATGAAAATCACATTTGAAACGAATTTATTTACAATTAAAAACCATAATAAGCGTAATGAATACATAGAACCTATGTCATTATTAGTCAACAAGACAAACAAATCCGTTGTTAAAATAAACAGGATTACGACATTCTGTGCTCTATAATAGCGTTTATTATGAAAGCACCATTGTTCACAATATCATGCATGATGTCAGGCAAATTAAACTCTGGTATGGCCTGGAGCGGTCAGAGGCTAATGAAACACCCGTAGCGTGATGTAGAACAACGCCATCTATCGACCGTGATACTATTCAATTTTCCCTCCGACCGCACCTCATTGCAAACAAAGACAATCACTCGAATACCTATTGTAACGTGAACAAAATAAAGTTCAATTTCATTATCGCAAAGGCAGTATAGATCGTTTCTACTTTCAGCAATCGATGTATTTCGAATATAACTGTGAGATTTCAAAAAGGACTATATACACATGAAATAAGGTTGAAATTCGTTTGACCTTCAATGTTAATACGCAGCCTCCCCTAGGGCGGCGTTCGATCTTTCCAGTCGCCTAGCCGGCGTGGCCCGGACACGTCCCCGGAAGGAAAAACCGTGACTCTACAAACCAGTAAATAACTCTACTCTTTCCTTCTCCTTCGAAGGAAAAACAGTGGAGTAAGTTTTAACAAGTTTTAATTTCGCGTTTTTAGCTGCAGTGGTTAATAAGCGCTGAAAAATTTATTAACAAAATAACTTCGGCTTTAAGTGTCAAGTGATAAGTGAATTTATTTTATAAATATTTTTCGTAAATTTACCTTAAGCTTAGTATTAGGTGTGGATCAATATTGTTAATACAGGGC